TTCATACACTTCATCTATCAGATACTACTGTCTACTTTTAACATATCACTGCAGAAAATGATAACTGGTGTTGCATACAGAGCCACTGAGACTGAGGCTTTGAAATACTAACTGTTACAGAGCTGAATGATAAATGGAGAACAGCAGCTGGGCTGAGACGCTCGAGACACAGTTAGGAAATAACAGCGCACGCAAGGCTGACAAAAATTACATTTGCAGGTAACTGGAGTGGAAATTTATACTTATTGGAAAAAAATGGCAAAACATTGTTCGTGTTATTAAAGGCAAAGTGAGAGATAGCAAGAGCCATGGAGAGAGGCAATTTTCTTCCAACTCCAGCAGGAATTTATCTCAAGCTCTAACACGCAATTTCACTATGGAGCTTCAGGACAAAACAGAGAATTATGCCCAATTGTTTTGAGGGTTTGGATAACAAAGCATAAAAATCCTAATAAATAGCCTTCTGTGCCAATGCAGACCAGAAGAAGATTTCTATTAGTAAAAGTTACAGAAACATCCAAATCCTGAACGGCAATAAATATCGAGTTAACCACCTAACACAAAAAAATGTAGCTTTAGGTATTTGATATTTTCGGAAGTATCTGTACTATCACAGACCGTCTCAGAGGAAAACTGACACAGCTCGTCAGGTTTGCCAAAGCAATGCTAAGCTTCACAAATACGGCACGCCTTCTTATTTTACCTTTTCTGGTAATAAAATTTTACAATGGAAAGCCATTAGAACTGCGAGAGTATGGAAATGAGGACTAATTTGTCCTATTAGGAATGTTAAATCGGCTGCTGTGATTGTACTCTGTACATTTAACACGATGGTGTGGAGCTAAACAGTGAGTCCTTTCCAAACAAAAAATGAACAGATCTTTATAAATGGTAAAATGTGTTATTTATTCCAGTCATACCTGCTTGTAGCAGGTATGTTTTAGAATAGATTTAACCTTTTGAAATATTAATACTTCCTGATTTTTAGCATTTTAGTTTTCCAAAGTAACAAAACCAGGTTTGTGACATGTGATTAGCTTTTGCTAACATTTAGGCCAAAAATTCCCATCTGAGTGGTTACCTCAGAGTCAATAAAACTGTCTTCGTTTTGGAGAAGGCTTAGCATAAACCCGTTAAACAACCCATAAGCCGCCCCTGCTACAAAAGATGGGGAAACCCAGGGGGGCTCACTTCTGCCCCAGCGGGGTTCTGCAGAGCTGCTGTGGATCCTCAGGGAGTTGAGGTTTAGTTTTAGCACTCAAAGGTTCCTCCCCACACTTGGCACGCTGGCACCAAGCTGCGCCTGAGCCAACGGCCACCCCACCGGCACCCGGCCCGCGGCGGGCAAAGCCAGCCCAGCACCCTGAGAACCCATCACAGCCAGCCCTTCTGCTTCCAAATGCACAAATAACCATCACAGCTGCTGCTTCTGCTCCAGAGTAACGCCACGCTCATGGCCTTCTATGCACAAGCACATCTCACTTAAAAATTAGCACAATTTCCATGTTTTCTTTTATATATATAATATTTATAAATGTATAAAAAATATATATAGCCCCACACCCGTGATTAAAAAAAAATGTATATAATACAAATCCCTTCCTTCTTTCATCTATCTACTAGTTCTTCACAGATTTGTCTCCCAACATCCCTGATTGAGCTGAGCATAGTACCAGCACAAGGCGTAACCCCAGCTCTCCAGCACCTAATCCTGCTACATCCCATTCCCATCTGCAAGCTACAAGGATGGGTGATTGTCAGCTCAAGATTCTCCCCACCAAGTGGGGATGGAGATCCCAAGCAGGATGCTCAGGAAGGTGCCAGTAGCCAGAGGTACAAGGAACGAAACCAGGATCAGAGACATCCCAATGGCAAGTAGAGAACTAGAGAAACCACCTGGGTAAAGAAATGAATCAGGCCGACAGATACAAGGGAACAGCAGGAAAACAATAACTGACTGTGACAGTCTGAAACAAGCTTGGCTTTTTTAACTTTTCTTGTTTTCTTTTTTCACCCCCCCCTGCGTCAAGAGCCTACATTTTAATTCAAGGAGGCCTTTGATTCTGCCAGAAAATGTCTTTGCATGGAGCATCTTCTGTTTCACCTGGCATACAGCCAGCCCTAGAACAGGCATTCCTGGTGTCAATACATCTTAGGAGTATTTCTGCATTACAGTGTCAGCATCGCTCAAGTTTTGAGCCGTGCTTAAGCCTCAGGCTGAAGCTGAGAAGATGATTCACTGACAGAGCCTTGTCGGAGGCTTGCCAGAGCCCAGGGATACCCACGCTTGTATCAGCCCATCTCCAGCTCTCTCTTTAAACAGAATAAAAGCCTGGGACCCTGACCACAGGACCCCAGTACAAAATGGCAATTTGCTTGGTGTCTGCCACGTCCTCCCATTCTCTTTATCTACTTGCATCATTTTTTTTTTCCCCTGACTCAGAAATACTGCAACACCAATGGCAGAGATGGCACCACATCACAGAACCTAAATTGTAAGGGAAGCGGTTTTATTTTCACTTGAGCAGAATTTTTTTTTTTAAGCAAGGCTCCAAAATACCTTAAAAAAAGTAACAGTGATGACAATAGGACTGAAAAATTCAATGACATCTGAGTAAGATAATTCAAGCACAAGTACCAGAGGATAAGATAACCCACACCAGAGCAGTTCCCAGGGAACAGACTATAATGACATTCAGATTATACATCTCATCTAGGCTGTGTTTCTGAAGGAGATGTGAATTAGCAGCCCTGTGACAATAAAGAAATGTGGGATTAAGAAACAAGAGAGGAGGGAAGAGGGCTGGTTGATTCTCCCACTGCCTTTTCTTGTTCCTAAATTTTCTGTTGCCTGGAAATGGCTGATGAGAAGACGGGATTATGTAAACGCTTGCCAACTTTTCACGTGTTAAGAAAACTAAAGCCTGAGTGATGGGTAGCTTAACCCATCTTCTAAGAAGTGAACTAAAACATGTTTACTAAGGAGAACTTGAACAGAGAAACCCCTTTAAAAAATCCAGGAGTGATGAGGACTTGACAATTCCCAGGATTAAAAAGCTGCATACATTACAGACAATGTAATCTCCTTACAGTAAGATGAGAAAAAGGAAAATAAGGCCTTTTAGGTGTGCAAGATGGTTTTTGGTTTAAAGTATATACATCCTGTCTGATGGAAGACTTCCTTGTGTTATTGTCTGGGTTTTTTTTTTCTCCAAATAGACATGACAGAAAAGAGAGGTATACCAGCCCTCCAACTCCTTGTTAAGTTATATTTTCCAGAAAACCCACTGCTTCCATCAAACATGACTCGTCAATAAAATAATAAGCACTGTGCTGTACAAATGTCTCTTCCTAAATTTAACCAGTCTAACACTTAGATGCTACAAGAAAGCAGGCACTAACGAAAGTGTAAAATATCTCTATCTAGTTTTGAACACAACTTCAGCGACTGTGTCATCTCAACAGACATAAGCTTTCCTGAACTCTTCGTTGTCATTCAAGTGGCATGTTATTTTCTGCAGATACTCCTACTACAGCTGAAGGCTACTTTAAAATTTAACCTCCTCAACTTTTTCCATTTTTTAATTAAAAAAACCCCTGAGGGTTGCACTCATTTTTCCTTTTTCTCTGTTTACTAACAGAGCACTGGGGTCTATAAAATGAGCAAAAAATTCTTGCAGTCACTTCTTCCAGTTCAAAACAAACGTGCTTACACTGGCGATAAAGCTGAATGCACTGCGGATGCTGCTAGAAAAGGTGATATTCTCAGCAATGTTTCTGAGGCACTAAAATAACCCAAAATCCTGCTGCAAGCTGAAGTTGCATCGTCCACTGGAGCATCAGCAATGCAAAACCGCAGGTGGCAAAATCTGGAGACTGAAGCAGAAATCATGTGGCGTGCAGCTCAACCACCGCTCCAACAACAAGGTTAGGACAGAGAAATAAACTCTGTTCTTTACTACAGGAATGCACGTGTAGTTGTGTAAAGGCAACTGTGTGTATCTAGAAGAGGGAATATAAAGTATCCAGGTTGCCTGAAGCTCACTTACATCTTCAGGAAAAGAAAAAATCCCAAACAGTGGATTTTTGTACAGCTGCCCAATGATGGCAAAAGGTAAATCCTCAGCTGGCGATAATGGTTATGGTTCCACTGAAATCTCCTAATGATGTTCCCCCTTTGGTCTTACTGATGAAAGGAAAAAAACAAACCATCCTACATGAAGAAAAGCTGCAATGAACAAATGGAACCAGATGTGAAATTTTTCACCCAACTATTATAACTGTGAGATGTCTTCAAAAAGTTAAACTGGGCATAGCCCCAGTCAGCCAATTACAAAATCGACATTCCTTCAGCTTTAGAAGAGAAGAAACAACTTCTCAGAAATGCCAGAAGCAACTCAACTGTGATTTTTAAGCTGCTTCAACAGCATCTTAGTTATTTTAAGTAGTACTAAGAGTTTACCTGAGATTTCCTTCCCGTAAGTGGAACTAAGAGCCAGCAAGGTGCTCAAATCAGGGAAAAAGAAACACATACAAAATGATTCTTGCGACTGCTATGTTACAAATATATTGCTTTTTCTATTCCAAACTGCCTTCCCTGTGAATTTTAAAATATGTAAAACCAAAAAGCACAGAGCAAATAATATCTACATAAGTAGGTCATTTTCTTAATGGCAGGGCACTGCTGCTTTACTACCAACTTGTTTGCAATATAGACACATACATTTCAAAGAGCGTATATTCAGATCTACAACAGAGGTGAGTGAGTATAATCGTGGAAGCTCTTGCTCCAAGATCAAGTAGAGCCTAATTCAGAAAGACAAGCAGGAACAAGTCATATTTTGCACCTTCTATGCAAGCTTTGGAGATGGTTAAGACATTTTGGAGAAAATCCTCTTGCTGCATGTAAGCTGTAGCTTGGATGTGCTACACGTTGTATATTTCATTACAAAAGCAGAGCCATGTTATTTCATTAGATAAGCGATAAGTTCAATCCTTACCAAGTTTTCTTGGTTCCTGGCTGCTATTTTCTGATCATCTTCTCCCCCATTTTTCATGTATTTGACCTCTTCCACTGGTTTGATCCTATACTCATCTGAGCACCAAGAAAAAAAAAAAAAAAGAAAAAAAAAATTTTTGAACCAGTGTGTTCAGCAGCTGGGAAAAAAAAACAAACTAAAACCAAAACAGCTGACTAGAAAAGACCCTAATTAAACAAAGCAACTAAAAATTACATGTATATACTTTTAAATGCTTAAATGTGACTGATACCAAGGAAGTTTCTCCTGACTGAAGCTTCAGTAAGAATTTCCATTTCTTGCTTTCAGAAACTGTTCAGTAGCTCCCTGGTCTAGTATAGTCATGGCACCAGGAACAGGGGATGTTTGGTATGTACTCTCCCCCAACTCCCTAGTTTTCTGTACAATACGCTTAATACAAACAAGTTCTTTCCTCCTGCATCCTCCCTGGAGTTTTATTATCAATGGGCAAACAAGCAATGTACAGTAGTTACTATGCATGGATGTACATGGATATTCCTTGAATTGAGAAAACCTCTTTTTAAAAGCAATTCTGATGGAGTCTATTTAAAATTTAAGTTAAAAGCTGGAAAAAAAGACAAAAAAAAACCCAAAAAACAACAGAACCCCACAACCACCAAAACCTACTGCTTTTTTAATCATTATTTTGCTTTTCCTGCACTGTTTTAACTGAGCTAAAGCAAAACGTACACAATGCACAATCATATAGTGATTTCTGGAGAAAAGGCCCCATGCTGATCATCTTCCTTTCCCCACTCCTCCCCCTCCCCATACATTTTTCCTCCACATGAATGTTAACTGATAGAAATCCAGCATGAAAATAAGTAATAAGTAAGATTCCTGGCTTCCCCTTAATATTTATCAGCTAGGTGTTTCAGCTCTTCAAATAATAAATTCCCAGGTCCTGTGCCAGTACTGGAATATTACCTAATACACATGTGCTATCCCACAGTAAAGTATACAGCCTCATCAAAACTTGAATAAAGGGTTTTTTTTTCCTTTAGTACGACAAAAAGGAATTTGGCGATTCTTCTTTCTAGCTCAGGAACACAGTGTCTGCAGTACCAACATTGCCTTTTCTCAGTCCCTATTACAGCTTTTTGCTCTGGTTGTCTTTGCAGAATCTATTGGAAAAACACCTAGAGTTTTGCACTCACACTCCTCCAGCCAAGATATATAACACAGAAGAGAAACTTTACCCCAGGAAAGTCAGAAATGTTAATAAAAACTTAAATGAGACATGGTACACTGGGAATAAAAGGCAAAATCTGGGCAAATTAAAAGAAATCGTACAAACTTTATTCTTTTCCTTTGGGCTTTCAAGCAATTTATCTCAGTTGCTAAAAGAAAAACAAAACACAAATGGATTATCCTGGGTTACTGCATTGCTACAAAAAAAAAAAATAAATTCTTTAGAAGGAAGCCTGATTTCAAGAAACTGTTAACCAGGGAATGTATAAGTTAAATAAGTCTAACTTTGAAAAACAATTTTTTTTTTTTTAAATACAGTTTTGCATTTGGCCTAGTCTATATCTATATGCTTTTTTTCATTACAGAGTTTAAATAAAACTGTAAATTGATCAAATAGCAGCATCTCAGATCCAGAGTCTCAAAATAGATGGAAGCGTTAAGGACAATATTACTAGACTGGTAAACGTGAACAACTTCTCTGAATTTTTTTTTTCTCTTTCTTAAGTGGAATTTAGGTAGTCTGGAGCTGACAATTCATAAAACCAAAAAGGCTGAACACAATAAAGCCTGAGAATTAGAAGTACTTTATCAACTGCAATAGCTAAGTTACATTTTTCTCACTTCTTCAGTGATCGCTGTTGTGATTAGCAATAAAACCCACACGCAGAAAAAGCACAGAACTCCCACAGTGGCATGTACAGATTTGAATAGGAAAGCAGATGAGAAAGAGAAAATAGCACAAAAGAAGTTTGCACAACCTGCAGCCAGTCCACATTAACTATGAGAGGCGTGTTCAAGCCAGCCTTGTAAAAAACGAGTGAGGTATGGAGGATCAGTGGAAAAAATAACCTCAGAAACATGCCTCCTGCTTATTCCAAGAGGTTAATTGTCATTGAACACCGAGTGCACACCCAGGCGGCAGACCATCCTATGGGGACTTGTATGTAAGCAGTGCTTCCTTAGAAGATATTGTCTCTTGTAGCAAGTAGACCACAACACTGATGAGCCCGTGACTGAAAAGCAGTATAATCTAATTTATATATGGAAGTATGATACAGTTCCATAGGACAGAGGCAAGAGGGAAGGAGGGGTTTTGTTGGAAACTTAATTCTGTATTTCTTCTCTAACTGACTGTGAGAGAGTGCTGCCAGGCATCACTATTCAGGTGTCTGAGCTAACGACCTGACGGTACCTGGGTTCCCAATATTCATCAACACCATCATGACAACACTCTTGTAATTACCATTATTGCTACAAGTTTATGCTGCATTTACTGGGTGAATAGAATACAACAATTCAGTTGGAAGGGACCTACAATGACCATCTAGCCCAACTGCCTGACCCCTTCAGGGCTGACCACAAGCTACAGGACGTTGTTAGGGGCATTGCCCAAATGCCTCTCAAACACTGACTGGCCTGGGGCACCCACCACCTCTCTGGGGAGCCTGTTCCAGGGTCTGACCACCCTCACGTCCAGCCTGAACCTCCCCTGACACAGCTTGGAGCCGTTCCCACGCGTCCTGTCCCTGGAGCCCGGGGAGAAGAGCTCAGCACCTCCCTCTCCACGGCCCCCCCTCAGGAAGCTGCAGAGAACAAGGAGGTCGCCCCTCGGCCTCCTCTGCTCCACACTGGGCAAACCCAAAGTCCTCAGCTGCTCCTCACAGGACATGCCTGCCAGCCCTTCACCACCTTGCTTGCCTTCCTCCGGATGCGTTCAAGGACCTTCACGTCCTTCTCCAGCGGTGGGGCCCAGCACGGTGCTGCCGGTGAGGCCGCACCGCCGCTGAACACAGCGGGACAATCCCCTCTCCTGGCCGGCTGGCCATGCTCTGCCTGAGGCGCCCCGGGGTGGGGTTTGCCCTCTTGGCTACCAGGGCACGCTGCTGGCTACTACTGAGCTGCTGCCCACCAGCACCCCCAGGCCCCTTCCTGCAGGGCTGCTCCCCAGCCACTCCTCTCCCAGTTTAGACTTGTGCCCGGCACTACTCCATCCTAGGTGCAGAATCTGGCATCTGGACTTCTTAAATTTCAACCCGTTAATCACTGTCCAGTGCTCCAATCTAACTAGATCCCTCTGCAAGGCCTCCTGTCCCTCAAGAGAGTCAACAGCACCTCCCAGTTTGGTATCATCAGCAAACATGTTAATGGTGCATTCAACTCCTGCATCCAGATAATTGATAAATATATTGAACAGGACTGGCCCTAGGATTGAGCCCTGAGGAACAGCGCTGGTGACTGGTCACCAGCCAGATGCAGCCCCACTCACCAGAACTCTTTGAGCTCTGCCCTTCAGCCAGTTCTTCACCCAGCACACCAGAAACCTCTTTATCCCACAGCTGGACAACTCGTCCAGAAGGATGCTGCGAGGGATAGTACCCAAAGCCTTACTAAATCCAGACAAACTTCATCCTACCACCTTCCCTTCATCCACTGGGTGGGTGACCTTATCATAAAAGGATACCAAATTAGTTAGGCAGGACTTTCCCTTTGTGAACCCATGTTGGCTGTGCCTGATCACTGAATTATTCTTTAAACACCTTTCAGTAGTACCCAGTATCATCTCCATAACTTTTCCAGGGGTTGAGGTTGGACTCACAGTTCTGTAGTTCCCTGTGTGTTCTTCATGCCCTTTTTGTAAATTGGAATAACACTGGCCAGCTTACAGTTGGCAGGGACCTCCCCAGACTCCCAAGACCTTTGGTAGACGATGCAGAAGGGTCCTGCCGTAACATCCACCAGCTCTTTCAGTACTCTGGGGAGAATCCCATGAGGCCCCAGGGACTTGTGGACATTCAGCTGATACAACTGGTCCCTGACAACTTCAGTGTCCACAAATGGAAACTCACTGTTCCCACAGTTATGGTCCTTTAACTCAAAGGACTGGGCAGCCCAAGGCCTACCAGTATTATTAAAGACTGAGGCAAAAACCACATTGAATGCCTCCACTTTTCCTTCATCCCTATTAATCAGGTGGCCATCTTCAACCAGTATCAGTCCAATGTTTTCTTTAGACCTCCTTTTGGTATTAGCTTCAGCAGAGATCTCCCTGAATTGTGTAGGATTCATAGAGAGCAGATGTTAGAGAATCTGTGAAGAGAGTCAGGCCAGGTGAGGGTAAGGATTATGACATGGACATGGGACATTTAAGGAATACTTGAGCTGCCTCGTCAGCCTGTTTCCACTCTTCATGGTTGTGTGATGTCTAGGCTATGCTTATTTTCCAGCTTCAGCTCCACACAAGTCTTTCTAGAGACCACCATCAACAAAAGTTCTCAAAAACGTAATTTTAAATTCACATTGAACCTGGACACACAGACTTCAAATGCTGCATTGTTTGCCAGATGCATCAAGTAGCCCTGAAATGGTGGCAAAGAACTTTTGCACAGATTTGTTGTGTAATTTCCACAGATATTTACCACAGTGTTAGTAAATGTGCTTCCCCCCAATACTTTACTTACCAATACAATAACTATTCAATTATCTGTGCAGCATAGCACAGTCAGCATTACTCTTCCCTTCATCCTACCAAGTGCAGGAGAAATGCAGATGCCTGAACAATTCATGCACAAGACAGGCAGCAGCAAGAGAGTTTCCACATGTAAACCAGTCATTTTTCATCATGTTTTCAGGAAAATTTGAATATACCATGCCAACTAGCAAGTCCTACTTCAGAGCAATCCACCTTTTCCTTAGGAGAATACAGATAAAGGAAATTCAGGATGTCAAAGTAGAAGGGAACTGCTTCTGTAGATGTTAGAATTACTCTTTTAATAGAAAATGTCTTACAAAATTAATATTAATGTCATGACTCTATTATACAGTCTGTGTTTGGCCATGATAAATCTCTACTTTTACCTCAAAAAGC